TCCAGCGAACGACGAGATAAACGCCGTCGAACGAATCCGGTAAGCGCTCGATGGAATGGACTAGGAGAGAGAAACGACAACCGAATCTTCGGTTCCGGACATTGGTCAAGTTGGCCTTTATAGTTTTCCGATTCCAAAGCGACGGTTTCTTGCCCTTTTCGAATGAATCTTTAGGGTATTTCCTAGTATCGCCGGGATTTGTTTTGGGCTCCGGCAAACGGAATTTTCCCACGGATTTGGACCGGCTACTGACGGTGGAACTAGCAAGTCTCGGCGGCGTTTTTTTGCCGGCGTAAAAGGATTTACTAAGGGTTTCGAGATCACTTACAAAATTGCCATTTTCTGAATTCTCACCACCCTTCTTGCTGCTGCTATCTCCTTTTGATGACATCATTATTTCTTCGAAAACTGCATAATTAGACACTGAATTTTCGCACTATTATGAAGCCATACAAAAAATTAAATCAATTCCAGAATCAATTGCATAATTAAACACTGATTTATTTTTTGTTATTTCTTTTTTCCCCTAAAAATTGCAGTAAGTTTCTCGATTGAAGAACTTAAAGCCACGGAATTAAACAACAAAAAAAAAGTGATTTTTAAAATTGACTTGAGAAAGATGAGCATAAAAATCCAGCAGAAAAAAAAAATAAAAAATCTGAAGATCAATTCATAGGCTTCATAATCGCTGCTGTACAAAAGAGATTAAACAACTAAAAAAAAGCATATATATATATATATATATATATATATATATATATATATATATATATATATATTAAGTATATATATATGTTCATAACCCCCAATTCTCGCCCCCCTATTTTTCTACGCTTTATTTTTGGCCTCTTTTAATCTGAAACGGCGCCGTTTCGTTTCAATCCACCAATCACCGTGCAGCTTTCTTTTCTTTTTCCTTTTCTTCCCGAAAATGCACGATCGACCTGCTTTTTCTTTTCCATTTAATTAATTTCCCCCTTTTCTCTTCTCTCCCTTTTGCCGCCGCAAATGTTGACCGCCGCTCCGCCCCTCTTCTTCTCCACTCAGAGCCCTGCCTTTTTCTTCCTTCATTTCGATTTCCTCTGCCGCCCAATTCTCACAGCAGGTTTCCCTTTTGTTCCACACAGCCATGGGACGGGAGGCCTGCAATCGTTGACTCCCGCCCACTTCCACGCCCGCCGCCGCCGCCTCCTCGCTCGCCGCCCCGGTCACCGCCCGCATCGCTTCCCACCACATCTTTCCCCCACCTGCTCCGCCGCGCCTCCTCCTCCACATCCAGAAATTCCGATATTCCTTTCGGATCCGTCCACCATCTCAAGAATTCCCAGCTGCCCCCCTCCCCCTAACAGCTACTTTCCTCCCTCTCTCCCCCCCCTGCACCGTCCTACCCTCCATTGATGCCCCGTTTCAGAGCACTGCGCGAAATGGAAATTGATATTCGGAAGTCGAGACCGGCATCGATAAATTGAACGACTCGATTAACAGGATTTTGAACAAGATGAGGCAGGCCGGCGTCGCCGCGTCTATTTTATGGCAGTCGCTGAGGTCAGTGTTGTCGTCGGCTCATTTAGAGAGTTTGCGCTTATGTTATTCACGAATTATTGAGCAGTCTTTATACTCTTTGGATGTGATCTTTTGTGGATTTGTTTCATATCCAGTTATAATTCTGATATAATTTATGGTCTTGAATTCTGAAATAATTTTGTTGCAGGTGCTTCTGCTGGCGATTTGATTTAATTTTGAGTTAATTTTCGGCAATGGTAAAGTTTCAACCCTTGCTCGACATTCTTAAATATTATTGTTCTTGTTCCTGTTTTGTCATTGAAGAACATGTCGATTTTTATTCTCATATTTTTTTAGTTGGAGCATTTAAGCCGGCATGCCATGTTTCATTTATGTTTTCGGATGCGAAATCTCGAAAGCAGGTTTGTTTTATCCTCTAGAATTTTGCTGAACTTTTAGAATCTTCTTTACAGAGTAAAACAGGTTTACCATATATTACCTAATCGCTCTAGCATTCGGATTAGCATTGTATGCGTGCTTATCGTCTCGCTTGTTATAATTATGTTGTTCCTTCCAGTTGCACTTGTTTTTGGTGCATAATCGTGTCTAGTGAGTGGTGATTGTAGATATAGGTATTCAGTTTTCATTGTTAGCAAATATCTATAGTTTTTTTTTTCGCGTATCGGCACGACAAATTCTTGAATTATTTTTTTCAGTACTGGTAGGACAGGCTCATCGTTTTTTTGTTGCTTGTATAAATGTTATTGTAGGTGTCAATGAAGACGGAGAATGGTTAAACTGTAATGGTCCCACTCTTTTTCATTCAACTATATTGGGTTATTGTTTCCAATAGATGTTTTACTTGTCATTTATTATTGCTCCACAGCTCATGTACAGTTCTGTAAAGTGGCACGGCAGTAAGGGTGACTTATCTGTAGAGTTGTTTAGAGTTGTTGACAGTATGATTAACATTAGCATTTGAAATCACTGCTTATATGCCTAAAGCATACTTGTTATTGACCGTAATTTACAAGAACATTCTTCAGTCTTAGTACTTGGTTAAGAAAGCAACAGTTATGGAGATTCCTTTTGCTCAGGTCGATGCAATCATCAAGAAATTGCGTAACCTAGCATAGAATGAAATTCTGTAACCTAGCATGGAATGTTCCTGTTAATCAGCACCGCCGATCCGAGCACCGGCACCGCGCCTTGCGCGGTGCTCCTCACTAGTATATATATATATATATATCCCATATCACATGTGACAATGAGATTGAAATTCACCGAATACGTAGACGGGGAATTAGATGCTACACCTGATTATTTACACCGGGTTAACCATAGATCTACATATAATTACACACACTTATTTGTATGTATACTTAGTGGATAGTTATTTAATCAAATCTACGAATTAAATCCACCCGATATAAATAACAAGGTGTAGCATCTAACTCCCCGTAAAGCTGATGAATAAACATTGTACGAAAATACCTCGAAATTACTATTTATTCTTACATATGTACTAAAAGAAAGTGTATGTATTTTATCGATAATCTTCACACAAAAAATATTGTTATGTCGTCGAGGTGTTTACTAATTTGTTTTCAAGTTATTACCTATTCTATATAATAATTACCTAGATTATGAATTTTAAGAACTAACAAAAATATCTATGAGCCTTATTACGGGTTCTCGTTCGATAAGAAGAATGTGATTACGTTGTTTATGATGTTTATCCGTATGTTAACTGTTGTCCATCCACTCAGGTAAGGTCAAATTACGAAAAAAACTCCTCTTGTTTTGGTAATTACTACAACCACCTTTCAAGTACGAATCTTCTTACATGTCCACCCTTACGGAGTTAAATTCAACATAATCTTCTAGATTTCGTAGAATGTTCTCTAGTTTGTACTCGTTTTGTATAAAAATGTTGTTTCTGATACACCACAATCTGATATTTACAAACCAAGATACAGATGTTATGATCATCTTGTTTAAAATGTGGAGTTTAAATAGGGTAAAACGGATACAAACTAGAAAATATTCCATATAATTTAAAAGATTCAACTAAATTAGCCACCGTAATGGTGGACTTGTAAGAAAATTGACAGTTAAGAGAATGGTTGTAATTATTCAAATATGAAGAATTTTTTTTGTAATTTAATTTTACCTCGTGGAGGGCCGTAATTTACCCATAATTATATTTGACCTTAATATAAGTAAGCCTTCATATTAAGTAGGGGATTTAATTAAAAATGAAAAAGTTTGGGAATATGCTTGAATTAGTTTGAGATGACGATGATGATGATGGAAGTGGTAATGAAAAGAAAGTATTGGTACGTATAAGGGTCAAAAAGTCAAGATTGTTTGGTCAAAGATGCTGACCCACTAACAACGATGCCTATAATTTTCTTACATCCTTGGAATTTTGCTAAATCGGCATCTTCTGGAATTACTTTCTCCAAACTCATATTTCCTCTCTTCAACAAGTATTATACATTGATCGCATGCGATGATTTAACAATTCCAGTAAGTGAGCATGTATTAATTGTTCAAAGTTCGAATATCTTTGTCAATGGTCGTGAGATGGAGCTAATCACAATGATTAGCTCAATGTAGTTTAAGTCTCTCGTGTGAGTTTGCAAGCTATTATACGAGAGTGTAGGTTTTACCCAGTACACGCAATATAGTTGGTTGCGAGTTTCTTCATTACTAGAAAACAACAAAGTGCAGAGCCAATAATTGTTAATTTTTGATTTTGGAACAATAATCTAATTCCGCGTATCAAAATTTTGAATTTCAATTTTTTCAACAAAAAGAAGAAGTTGGAGTATATATAAGAATTTCAATTCTCAATCCAATTTTCATTTCCGAAATCATTGCAGAAAATTCTAATACTTTCCAAAAACTATGTTTAATAATGTCAATATGATAATGTATCTTATATTGAGATCCTACACTTGGTAAAATACACCATGTGGTTTTAAACCACAGATCTATATAAATACTACCCGTTAAACACACATACACATTGTTGTGTATGTATGTGTGTTATTATGTGTAAATCTACGGTTTAAAAGCACATGGTGTATTTCACCAGGTGTAGGTTGTACAAAACCGAATAAGAAAATAGAGTTCTCAACTCCACCAATTCCAATTTGAAAATTTTGATTTGAACACAAGTTTTTTCGTCACAATTCCCAAAATTTCAATTTTCAGTTTCCAATTTTCCTATTTTATTGGAACGGAATAGAAATTAATTATAAACAATCCACTGAAATAAGCCAAGAGCTGGGAATAAAAACTTAAACAAAGTAATGAATTAGTTTACATGTAAAAGACAAGTTTGAGTGGCATATTATAGCTAAAAACTTGCTCCATATGAATGCAATCATTTTAAATTGAACTTAAAAGATACAGTGACAGTGATGCATTGACAGCAGGCTTATAGGCAACACGATTCAATCAACGAGAAAACATACGTGCGTGCGGGGTAATGACAAATATTAGCTAAATCAACAAATCCGTGTATGTACGCATGTGCGTAAGTAAATAAACGATTAGTATGAAAATTAATGTTGGATAGTAAAAGTAATAAAATAAAAATAGGAGCAAAGCATGCCGTTTCTACATGATTTTAGCCTTCTATACAAAATCTAATCGGAAATAGATCTTACAAAAAATATTTCATCCTGTCGTCTCTTCTCATCGCATTGTATACCGCTTGCACCTGAAAATTATATGTGACTCAATTATGTCACACACACACACACACAAGAGAGAGAGAGAGAGAGAGAGAGAGAGAGAGAGAGAGAGAGAGAGAGAGAGAGAGAGAGAGAGAGAGAGAGAGAGATTGTGTGTACCTGCTCACTGGAAAGAACTTGAACAGGTCCAATGTTTACAGATACATACTTGCCACCTGATGAGATCTTCTGTTTCACCTGACCCTGTTTTTAGTGTACAACTACAACATTAACTTCTCTGCCTTACAGTCGTTAAACGCAATCTACTAAATTAGTAACGAAAATTTAAGCATCTATACATTTATTTTTAGTTTATTTATTTATTAAAAAGAAGAAAAAACAAAGGCGACCCAAGTGAGAATAATATGATATAACAAGAAGAAAAGAGAGGGAAAAAAAAGAACCAATAAAAAGTATTCGGTTATTGCTAGTCGAGAAAGCAAGAGGCTTCACCAATTGTACAAACCGATCGAAAGAGAAAAGAGAGGGAAATTATCTTCGATTAAAAATAAAAATTAAAAGTGAAGTACAAACTGATTACGATAGTGCTGTTTTGTACAAGGTTGTGTGAAAGAAACTTTTGCTGAATTAATAATTAAAGCACGACTAGGCTTTTAAATTAACGAACCAAAATGCATGCGGTATGTTCGTACGTTTAAATATTTATTATGAGAAATATGACCTGAAGGATGGGCAGAGAGTGAAAAAAAGAACTTCAAATTGAAAAGCAAATCCATGGTTTTCGGAAATAAACGAGCACGTCAAGTAAAAGTATAAATTGATGCCATTTATAACTTTCTTATTTGTGCTATAGGTTTCGGGTTTCATATTCAAGAGCACATAATTAACCTATGATTAAGCAATCATCTACACTTAACAATTCAATGGATACACAACTAGATTCAATTGGAGTGTACAAATTGATTTAATAGTAGGGTAAATAGCACTTAACCCCCTGTGGTCTGAACTTTTTGCACATGACCCCCTTGTACTTCCAATATAGCACACGATCCCCTTGTACTTTTAATATAAGCACATAACACCCCTTGTACTTTCAATAATTTTCTCTTTCTAATGAGCATGACTGTTTACCAAGTGGAATATCATACGAGAGTTATGTGCTTATGTTAAAACTACAGGGGGGTCATGTGCACAAAGTTCAAACTATAGGGGGTCATGTGAATAAAGTTCAAACGGGGGGTTAAGTGCTATTTACCCGTAATAGTATAAAAGAGGTTGACACTCCAAAACAGTATATTAAGACAGATTTAATAGTATAATAAATCTATTCTATCGAAGACAAAAAATGAAGAGGAAAACTATTTCAAAAACCTGAAATTAAAACATATCTAATCTAAATCTTGTGGCAGTTTCGTCTTAAAATCACATCAAGATGCAACTGTGAAGGAGTAGGGGAAGGCTACTCTACGAATTCGGATTACGACTTTGGATTGGAAAGTTAAATTTGTTACCGTAAACTAGCTTGAATTACAGAGCTGTTCTCGAAAACCAATAATATTTAGAAAAGTTACTGAATGTCTTGAAAGGAACATCTGAAAATACAGTTGTCGAAATCGAAGCAAATAAAATTCATTTTTAGAGACAAGGACAAATCAAATGCAATCGATCAATTTTTTTTTAAACAATAAAAGAAAAAAAAAAAAAAAAAGAAGCAGATGAAAATTCCCGGAAAAAAGAGATGCTTACTTGTGGGATAGGCTGTTGAAGTACGGATTCAACAGCAACAACCATGGCCTGCACAAAATCCTCACCTCCCGTTCCGATTGCCGTAAATCCTCTAGCCGTTGGATATGAGTTCACCTGTCATAAAAAACAATAAATACAAAATTAAGGAAATCATGCTATACGCGATTACGTTCTTTTAAACATCTGATAAACTGTTTTTAAGAGCTGATAAACTGTAACGTCTTATTTTCAAAATTAATTTCTAAAGTGTTTGGATACTGAGCTTATAAGCTATTTTCACTCATTATAAAATCTTAATTGAGTAGAGGTACTTTTTAGAAAAGATCTTAAAAGCTCTACAACGGCTTATCGTATAAGATGTTTTTAACAGCTTATAAGCTTAGCCAAACAGCCTCTAAGCATGCATTACCTTCTGATCAAGAGCAAGCCACTCATTGGATGAATCGTCTGCAACCGTACCTCCAATTACTACATTGGTGGTTTGCCCAACTCTCCCTTCGGCTTTCGAAACTTCTGCCAATTCCGAAAAACACGAATTTTTTCTTGGTTAACCCTTTTTCTAAACAAACACTCGTAATAGCAATTAAATTAAAAAAAAAAAAAAATAACAGATAGAAGATAACAAAAACAACAACAAAAACAAAAGATTCACATAAATATTTTCAAAAAAAAAAAAAATTAATAAAATTGAAACCTGAAATGGCCTTGAGAACGGCTTCTTGAGGTGGGCCCTGCTCGGAATCGTCGGCGTACGAAGATGGGTTTCCGATGTTGGAGCAATTACTTGCGAAACTTTTGGATTTAACTGCAATTTGGCAGCCGCAATTTGAATTTGAATTTGAATTTGAATTAGGAGTGGGTGTTGTTGATGATAATTTCTTGATTGGTGTGAGAAAAATGGAGAATTTATTTGTGGCGGCGGAAGGTAAGGGCAGCCATGGTCCGGTTAAGAAGACGGTCCTCAACGCAGTCCTGCACGCCATTTTTGTTCAGAGCTTGAGTTTCAACACTGCCTTTGCCAGATTTTTTTTTAGTTTGGGCTTTTTTCTGTTTATGTAGTATTGTGTAGTTTTGATTAGAAATTGTTGGCGTTTTTTTCTTGCTTGTGTTATCTATTACACTACCCTTTTTCTTTTTCTTTTTCTTTTTCTTTTTATATATTATTATTATGGCCAAATAAAGGGGAAACTACAGATAAATCCCTAATTCAAAACTCAACTCACAGATCAGTCCCTAGGTAGTTTCCCCTAGCAATTCAGTCCCTATTCACGCGTCTGACATGCAGATCAGTCCCAAATGTGAATTTTGAATATTTTATTATATTCTCTTTTCACTCTCACCATTTTCTCTCTCCTGCTTTTCTCTCTCCTGCTTTTCTCTCTCTTCATCTTCTCTTTCTTTCTTCATCTGCTCTCTTTCTTCTCTATTTCTTCTCTCTTTCTCTCCTCTGGTTTGCTCTTTTTCCGGCGAAAAATCACTGTAAAACCCACCCACCCCACAATGGCTACAAATGATGTATCTAATGATTTACCCACTGTGATTCTTGGAAGTTGTCGATACAAAAATCAACTTCACATTATTTCCATAAAAAGTAATTCGACCTTAATGGAGATATATGGTGCTATTATCAACAAATGGAATCATATCCATCCAGATGCACTGATCCTCCAATACTTGGCTCCTCGGGAAAGATTGTACGTGACATTGGGCAGTGATGAAGATGTGGAGAATATGGTTGCATTGCATCTGATAATGAAGATGAGTGTGGTCGACATTGTCGTGATGTGCAAAGATGAAGCTAATTCGCGTGGAAAGAGGGTTCGCACCGATGGCTGGTAGGTCTCCATCTTTTTCTGTACTGCTGAAATGCATTTCTTTATGGTTGTTAATTATTGTGTGATACATAGTATAAAATATGGCACATAATAGTATCATGCTAATATAAATATGGTATGGACGTATGGTACTTACACTACGTAACCTTGATCTGAGTAGTATGGGTGATAGGTAAATTTGGTACTGCTGGTGGGAAAACATAGTATCATATAATGAGGAAGATAGTACGTTACCTTCATCTGAATAGTATGGGTGATAGGTAAATTTGGTACTGTTGGTGGGAAAACATAGTATCATATAATGGGGAAGATAGTACGTAACCTTCATCTGAATAGTATGGGTGATAGGTAAACTTGGTACTATTTGTGGGAAAACTTAGTATTATAGAATGGAGAAGATAGTATGGAACCAGTGCATTGTTATGATACTTTCATGTACATTGTTATTTGGATTCCACTCTATTGTAATCCATTTTTAAATTTTTTTTGAAACCAAAAGCGGCGATCAATCGATGGAAATCGAGGGTAATCCGCTTGGAAATTCAATTGATGCATGGAGACATTGCATCCGTGGGGAGAATCAGTTTTTTAAAGATCCTGATGATTTTAGGCATATGCTGAAAAACTATTCTATTGCTAATAATCGATCATTTAAGTACATGAAAAATGATCAACAAAAGATCATAGCAGTATGCATTGACGAAAACTGCAAATGGAGGGTTTATGCATCATTGTACAAGTCAGATAAGTTATTTAGCATTCGCAAGTGCAATCTTGAGCACACTTGTGTTGATGCTACTCTTCGTACAAGGGGTCATCCTAAAGCCGATGCTACATGGATTGCCCAAATTATGAAACGAAAATTGAGAACGCAGCCAGCTTACAAACCATGTGGTATGTTAGAAGATATCCGAGACGATTATGGTCTGGAGCTTCAGTACTACACAGCATGGAGGGGTAAAGAAAAAGCCATGCGTGATATCCATGGTGATGAGACGACATGTTATGATAAACTGAGACGCTATTGTCGTGCATTAAAAATGCATAACCCTAGTAGCATGGCAGAGTATGAGATTGAACCTGCTACTCAAAAGTTTATTCGAATATTTATTAGTTTTGGGAGTTCTATTTCCGGCTTTCGTCGGTGTAGGCCGATGATATGTTTGGATGGGACTCACATTAAAAATAAGTACAAAGGATGCTTGCTTTCTGCTGTGTGCAAGGATCCAAATGATTCCTTATATACATTGGCATACGCAGTTGTTGATGCTGAGACTGATAAAAACTGGGAGTGGTTTTGCATTAAATTGAAACAAATTCTAGATCGTCACAATGACAATAGATCTTTTACCATTTTCTCTGATCGTCATTCGGGGCTTCTTAAAGCCGTCCCGTTGGTATTTCCTAGTAGCCACCATGCATATTGTTTGCGACACTTGGTGGATAACTTTAGAACTCAGGTATTTTGATTCTCTTTAAAAAGGCAAATTGGAACGTACCATTTGTCACCTCATGTCATACTTTTGTATAACATGTTTCATACTTTTGTATAACATGTTTCATACATTTGTGTAACATGTGTCATACTTTTGTATAACATGTTTCATACATTTGTGTAGCATGTTTCATACATTTGTATAGCATGTTTCATACATTTGTATAACATGTTTCAAAATAATATAGGTCCTGAGGAAGTACCCATTGCACAACAAGTTATATTGGGCGAGTGTTTTACATAATGCTGCATATGCCCCTACTCGGCAGGAGTTCGATGCAACTATTTCTCGTATAGTGCAATCTATGCCTCTCGCGGCATCATTTATTTCGAATTATGATCCAAATCATTGGGCCAATGCCTATTTTTCTGGAGAAAGATGGGGAATCGTGAACAATAATCAGGCAGAAAATTGGAATGGTTGGGTTAAAGATGCCCGATCTTTGCCTGTTCCATCCATGATTGATCACATACGGATCAAAATAATGGAGATGCTAGTTAAACGACAAGGAAAAAGTTTGGCAATGACTGGCATATTGTGCAAGAAAATTCTAAAGAGATTAACAATCAATCATATGGCCTCTCATTCCTTAAAATATTGTAGATCAAGTAGTACCGCTTTTGAGGTATATGATGAGGACAAGTCGTATAAGGTTGACTTGCAGCACAAGACTTGTTCTTGTAAAGCATGGCAATTAGAGAAACTTCCATGCAAACATGCATGTGCATGTTTGGAGTCAAAAGGATACTCAGTATATGAGTTTGTTGATCCATGCTTTCATATTGATACGTACAAACAGGTATATCAATTCACGATTAACCCAATTCCCTCGTTTGATGAGGACTTTGACTTGTACGATGCGTGTAATGCTCCGCCCGATGTCTTTGTTAATGCACCTGATTCGAGAACTCGACCGGGACGTAGAAAGACAAAAAGAATTCCTTCACAAGTGCAAACTCGTAAACTGAAGTGTACTCGTTGTGGGAAGCCTGGACACAATCGTCGTACTTGCACACAACCAATCTGACTAGCAATTTTTTTTTAATGTAAATACTGTCTGCATTTGTGTTACTTAAACTAACTAGTTTTGTTTCTAATGTAAATTTTATGTTTTTCATCAGGGAGGACAAGATGGAGGAGAGCTTACATGATTGCCCATTATGTTATTCAAGTGATTGAAGTGAATGAAAACTGGCTGTTTGTACTTTATTATTATGTGATTTGTACTATGTTGATTTGAACTTTGTACTATGTTTAATTTGCACTATGTACTATGTTTAATTTGCACTATGTTTTTTTCTATTTGTAGTTTGTACTATGTATTAGGTACTCTGTTCATTGATGGTTTATCATTTTCAGTCTAATGGTACTATTTTTATTTACAAATGGTATTGGATATGAGATAGGATGGTATGACTTACTCAATTTATGACCGTTACAAACTAAATCTATGAGATAGACTTACTCAATTTATGACCGTTACAAACTAATATAGCCGTTGCTTATTGTCAGAACTAGTCAAGTCATAATATGACCATAAATGACACATAGGCTCATTTGTTTCTAATTCATGGCTTCTTCGAGTAGCACCACTCAAATGAGTGGGTTAAAATACAAAAAAGGGAAATGCAAGCGTCTTGATTGTGGGAAGAAAACAATAATCATGGTTTCAGAAACTATTTCGAATCCCGGAAGGTTATTTTACTGTTGCCCACACCATGGCTACTCCCATTGGTGTGAACCATTTGAAGTTGGGCAAACTTTTTCCAACTCAAATCGTGAAGAAAATGAAGCTACAAGTGCGTCGATGAACCAAGTCCATCAAGAAAGTGAAGTGAAGAATTGCAATTCTGAAGGTGGAGTAGTTCATAGTTTGATAGTGTTGAATCTAGTAATATTTGCAGTCTACATGCTATGTAAAACCTATGTACTGTTGTTTAATTAGTGAACATAAGAGTACAATGTATAAGCTGGTAAAGTTCGGGTTATTCATGAATATAGTACGCTTTGTTCACCAATTAAGTATAATGTATAAGCTGGTAAAGTTCGGGTTATTCGTGAAGATGGTACGCTTTATTCATCAATTAAGTACAATGAATATGCTGGTAAAGTACACGTGAGTCGTAACTATAGTACGATTTTTTCACTGATAAAGTATATGTTTGCCATTCATATAGTATTTTTAAACTCTATATATTATTGTCGGGCCAATGCATCCATATGATCGCATTTTAAGACACAACTCTTCAGTTTAAGACTATTAAGAATGAATGGAGACAATGTGGGAGTCGATCAACATCGACTATGGTAAAAATTGAGGAAAATATTAGTTTTACACTTGAGCATTGTAGACTTGTATGAATATATTGTATAGTATATGAGTATCATGTATGAAATTCAACATATTTATGGGATCTTGTATACCAAACGCAACAATAATGCTCACCTACCTTAAGATAATCATCTAAAACATAAATGGAGACAATGTGGGAGTCGATCAACATCGATTATGGTAAGTTTTTCGTGAATACACATGTGAAGTACGCTTTGTTCATCAAATAAGTACAAGTCTTTTGTTGACAAGGTATCTTCGAATGGACTAGAAAGTATTTGTTGCTCATTTTTATGGTACGCTTATATTCTTTATACAAACTAATTAATCGCAAAATAAAGTACCATGTGTTCAAAAGGCAAGTACATTTCATCGAAACATATAGTACAATGTATACAATGA